CAAAACGCAGTAGAGGTTTTTGCCCTTTTTTTTTAAATGCATCTGTATCACGTTTTTCAATTTTTTTCACGTTATAAAGAAATTCAAAACATTAACTTTGATTTTCTATCTGTTCTAATCTTTTAGGATAAAGAATTAATTGCAGTGCCTAAAACTAAAATTAAGAAATTTACTTTGAAAAACTCTTTCCGACTTTATAATTCATCAGTTAACTTCTTCAGAGAACTTCGGATCGATGGTTTTCGTCCGGTTTTGTTTCATCTGTTTCATCACCAAGTGACCGAACAACAGAGGAACTTGAAACCTGTAGTTTTCTTGGCCATTCCCATAGCGGTACATTTCCAAAACCATCAATCTTGAAATCTAACGTGGATTCATAGATAACGTTGTAAACAACATCAATATTGTATCGCAAAAGTTAAAAGGCGTCTATTTTGCTCTTTTAACGGATTTCACTGAGAGGTTTTACAGTCAAACTAATTAAATAACTTGTTAATATACTCCAACTATGGGTTGATTCAGAAATAATTTCCAGAAAATTGATTAAACAGTTAACAATTACAGTACTTGGAAGTACTGAATTATTGACAACAAGGTTTAGTAAATGGCTTCCTCAAGAAACAAATAATGCTCGTGGGTAATTGTCAAGGATCTTCTTTTATACGTCTGCATTCCTTCCCTTTATGTTTAATCCATTATCATAACCTTGGCGAAACATATTTGTAAGGATATTCTTTTTTTTGAAACCTTGTCTAACAAGCAAGCTATCAACCTTTTCCTAAATGTATATAAGATCTGAAAAAATCCAAGAAAGTATTCCCTCGTGTTTACTTCGGAGCTGCATAAACAAATAGAACAACAAGTATCATTTCTTTTTTACAACTTACGTTAACAGTTCAGTCAAGAATTACAGAATAATATAAAGCTTAGCCCAGTTCACACAGGATAAACTCTAAAAAAGTAACTTTACAAGAACATAGACCAACAAGCTTATTTTGAATTTTTTTGCCTAATAATGTACATGAGTTTTTTTTAGCTGTTATCCAGTGAAGATGTTCAAAATAACAATATCAAGTTTTGAAATGTGTTCAAAAAGTTTTTAAACGTTTCCATTATTTTCTTTGTTACACTTGTTCCACAAAAATCTAATCTTTGAGTACCAAGGAATTGCACAACACAAAAAGGAATTGCTCAACACAAAGAGAGAAGTTAAAGCTAAAGTTTTTGTTTTAAAACAAGGGTTCGTACTGTATTTGTATTTAGGCTTGGACTGGGCCGCCGGGATATTGGGAGATTCCCGGTGGGCCGGTTGCCCCCAATAAGTTATCATATTTTTAGTTTGGCTACATTTTCAATTTATTTTTTTAGTTTACAATTATTAATCGTAATATAACAATATAACAATATATAAACTTAGTATCTGAAAGAAGATCCAAATGACCTTGTCGCCAGAACCATATAAAATATATCACACGTGTATATATAATAAAATAAAAATACAATTGATTTAATAACTATTTACAATGTAGAATAAACAAAAACTGAAAATAATTTTACAAATTATCCAGAGTGAAAAAAACTTTACATTTCAAAAATATTTATATATATTGCCAGTAGAAAGAATATAGTTTTTTAATTTAGTTTTAAAAACGGAAAACGAAATTGACAAATCAAAATTTGGAACAACAATTTTGTTCCATAAATACGGTGCTCGATAGTTTATGCAAAATTGATTAAACTTTGTATGACAAAATTTAATTTATAGATGTAATTGAAGTCAGTTTTTATGAAAAGGTTCAATTAATAAATTATTATTTCGCAAAGTATATTTGTTTATAGCTTTATAGGTAAAAAGATCTTTGAAATTGAACAATGGTTGTTCACTTTTACAACGAAACATAAAACATAAAATATTATAGACATTGAGTTCGTAAACGTTAAGTGCTTTAACGTTTTTAAATAAAATATTTGAATGAGAAAAACGATTTTCAAAACATATTAAACTAATTGCGCGTTTCTGACGATGGTAGAGATTTTGTACTGGGGAAGTACTTTTAGAAGTACTTCCCCAAACAATATTTCCATAATTTATATAACTATGAATAAATGAGTAGTAAAGTTGAATTAAATTTTGTTTACTTAGATAGTATCTGACCTTATATAGAATTCCAATACTTTTAGCCAATTTAGTAGAAATAAAGTCGATATGATACTTCCATGTAATATTTTCATCAATGTAAATGCCTAAAAATTTTGTGACCGACTCCTTTTTTATTTCAATTTTATCAATAAAAAGTTTAGGTAAGTTATTTGGTGAAAAATGCTTTTTTCAAGAGAGTGGAAAAGGATCCATTTTGTTTTGTCAATGTTTAAAGTTAACTTGTTTTGTTTTTTTCCTGTTGATTATTATAATCAACGGTAAATTAAAATGTAACTAAAGAGATCACAACTTTTTTCTGGCCTATAACTACATATAATTACAGGCTAATACATCTGCTGGCTAATTATATAAGTTTTGGCAGCCATCTTTAGCTGACCGAAAGTAGTATTATATTAACGCAAACAAACCAAATTAGTTAACAAATGATTAACTATTTATTTTACAATATGATTTTATATAGCTGTTCAAATTAATACCACACAAGATAATAATGTACAGGATCAATGTTCTATTGTGATCCAATATGTAACCGAAGCTGTACATGAACGTGTAATAACGATAGTCAATTGCACATCAGCAACTGGAAAAGGTGTGTGTGTGAATGTGTGATTTGGTTTGTGGCGTTTTTGAAAAGGTAGTCATTGATGTAAGTAAATGTATTGGCAACATCACCGATGGAGCCTCTAATATGCCATGTTAAAACAAAGGATTTAACACCTGGTTAAATACAGTTTCCCCGGGTCAGATTCATGTTTGGTGTTATGCCCATGTTTTAAACTTGGTAATGGGTGACGTTACTAAAAAAGCGGTTAAAGTTTTTACCTTATTTGGCGTTTTGAATACATGTGCAGTATTTTTACGGGAATCATATTTACGCTTCAATGTTTGGCGTGAATTTAGCAAATTGAAATATATATCTGCAATCAGTGAAAACCGTTGATGGGCAAAAGACAGATCTCTTACTAAGGTATTCGGAATTTTCTTCATCAAAACCTCAGTTCTAGAAACACATTTTATTGATTTTTTGTACATTGACATGTTACAAACATTTCATGATACTTCTACATGAATCAAATTCAATAATGATGTCCTTTACAGAGCGAAAGCTCTTTTAGATTCATTGACAAATTTTGAACTTACTTTGACGACACAATTGTTTTTAAAAGTATTTGAGTACACAACGCCGTTGTCTGAATATTTGCAAACAACTCGAATGGATATACTAAGAACCTATAAGCTAGTTCAAGACATTAATAATGATTTAAGCAAAGTAGATAGAAATTTTGATTCTATTTTTCAAGCAGCTACAAATTTCTCAGAACTTGCAAACATGAACTGGTAAAAAGGAATATCGACATTGAAAGAGAAAAGAATAAGAGCAAACCAACTATTTGAAAGTGCGAAAAAAAAAATTTCGTGTCAATGTTCACAACATGGTAATGGATCAAGTAATCAGTAGTTTAAAACAGAGATTCGCAGAGAATGATAGTCTATATGCTGATTTATCTTGTTTCAATCCAAGAAATTTTGAAAAAAATGCCTAGTGACGCATTGCAGCATTTGAGTGGTTTGTTCATAAAAATTTGATGCTAGTGCAACAAAAGGTCAGCTTCAAACGGTATTATTGGACTTTGCAAGAAAATGGGAGAGTTTTGAAATAACTCTTGAAGATGAATATAATTTGCTTTTTGACAAGTATCTGACTCCTTCTCGGACAACTTCCAGCAATCTAATTCCGTAGAATTTGAAACTGTTTTTACAATTCCAGAAGTGGAAAACAACGACAGCCACAGAAATAAATGCAAACCTTGCAAAAAATGTACTGTTTATTGTTAATTTGTTCTCCAGAAGTTCAACTTGCATAGTCTTGCGTATTCAAATTTGTTTCTGGCTTACAAATTTGTGTTGACATCCTCATCACAAATTTCTTGTGAAAGGTCATTTTCGAAGTTGAAATATATTTTGAACAGATAAAGAAACTTGATGAGCCAATCAAGTTTCTTTATCTGTTCAAAATATATTTCAAAATATATATATATATATATATATATATATATATATATATATATATATATATATATATATATATATATATATATATACATTTTGAAATATATTTTGAACAGATAAAGAAACTTGACTGGCTCATCAAGTTTCTTTATCTGTTCAAAATATATATATATATATATATATATATATATATATATATATATATATATATATATATATATATATATATATATATATATATATATATATATTTAATATATGCAAGTAGTAAGAGATTGCCAATTCTTGGACATTTTCATTTTCAACCATAAATTAATATTAATATTGGGGTTAACATTGAACCATGTTGTGTATAATTTATTTCAACAAGAAATAATTTTTTATTTTAAAAAAAATTGATTTTTTAAAATAAGTGTTAATTTTTATTTCTTGTTATGAAATATTACGAAAAATTCTTGCATGACGTCACGTGACTTTTCTTAATAATAAATTTGATCTGGTGTTTTTAACTTTTCTTCTTCTAATCTTTCCTTCTCTAACTTTTCCCATTGTAATTTATTTTTATTTTGTAAATAACGAGCTAAACTTAATCTTCTTTTATAACTTCCTAATTTAATATCTTTAATTGTAAAATCCATTTATTATAAATTATGTAAAGAAATATATTTTCAATTTTTTTTTCTTGCTATCGCAGATTGCTCTTGTGCGCTAACTGATCTTTCAGATCTGTGCGCATGAGCTGGAATTTATTTTAGATTTTGTTTATGTGTAGGAGCATTGCATAACTTTATCACTACTAGAATTTATAGTCACTACGTGTATCAAAAGTTTAAATATATCCATTTTTAACAGCTGAATTAAAAAACGATTCTGTACCTTTATACCCTAATTCATGTAAATATTTAATAATTTCAAGGTTACTATCTGATGGTGATCTTATCTGTTTATTTACTGCACAATTAAATGCACATTCATTTCCTTTATACCCTAATTCATGTAAATATTTAATTACTTCAAGATTTCCACTTTCAACAGCACAAAAAATTACATTTTCATTTCCTTTATACCCTAATTCATGTATATATTTTAATATTTCAAGGTGACCATTTTTAGCAACACAATTAATTGTACAATTGTCACATTCATACCCTAATTCATGTAAATATTTAAAAATTTCAATATTTCTATGTTTAACAGCATAATTAGTTACCCATTTATCACCTTTATACCCTAATTCATGTAAATATTTAATTACTTCAAGATTTCCACTTTCAACAGCTAAATTAAATGCCAAATATTCATTTTCATACCCTAATTCATGCAAGTATTTTACTACTTCAAGGTGTCCACTTTTAACAGCTAAATCAAATGTCGAATATTTATCACCTTTATACCCTAATTCATGTAAATATTTTAACATTTCAAAGTGTTCATTTTCTACAGTAGAATTAATTGTGTGTTTGCCACAATTATACCCTAATTCATGTAAATATTTTACTACTTCAAAGTGTCCATTTTCTGCAGCTTTATCCATTGCATAACTTGTTCCTTTATACCCTAATTCATGCAAGTATTTTACTTGTTCAAAGTTACCATTTTCTGCAGCTTTATCAATTGCATCATTTATTCCTTTATACCCTAATATTTTTTTAATATCTTCATCATCTTCATCATCTTCATCATCTTCATCATCTTCATCATCTTCATCTTCATCTTCATCATCTTCATTAACATATTCAGTAGTTTCTGTAATTTCAGTAACTTCAGTAGTAGTAACTGTAGTAATTTCAGAATCTTCAGTCATTTCAATATCATGAATATTAATAATATTTAATTTTTCTTCTATTAATCTTAATCTTTGTTCAATTGATTTTAAAAATGAATTTTGCATTTCGTTTTCCATTCTTTTTATATATAAAAGAAAATTATTTAATTCATTTTCAATTTTTTTTGATTTAAAATATTTTTACAAATAATAAAAAATAAAAATGAATGATGATGAAATTAATGAAATATCTGAATTTCAAAAAGAATTTAAACTTTTTGAAGAAATATTAAAATTTGAATTTGAAGAATCAGATTCTGAAGATGACACTTATTATACATCTGATGAAGCTACTTATTTTACATCTGATGATGAAGATGAAGTTAAAGAAAAACCTATAGTTCCAATTCCTTTAAAAACAGTTCAAATCATGGAACTGCATAAAGATAAGCTGAAATGGATTAATTATGTTCCAACTTATAATGTTATTAATGATGATTATCCTGCTATAGATAGTTTCTTAACAAAAAAACACAACAAAAATAGAAAATTTAGTTTTGAAAAACCATTTAATGTAGATATTAATTTTACTGAAGATGGAAAACCTTCAACAATTCATTTTGTAGAGAAACTACCCATTTTCTGTAAAAATATTTTAAATGATAATTATTGTCCTTTTGGAAGAAAATGTAAATACAATCATGATATTCCTTATTGTAATACTGTAAAGGAAAGACTCATATGCACTAAATCTTCATGTCAATATAGACATTTATCTCTATGTTCTGAATACCCAAAATGTAAGAATAAAAAGTGTTGATTGTTTCATCCCAAAAAGTCAGAATTATTAAAATTAAGAAAAGCTAAAACTAAATTATGCAAATATATTCTTGATAAAAAAGAATGTAAAAATATAAATTGCAAATATGCTCATTCTTTTAAAGAAATTGAAAAAAATGTAGAAATTTGTCATTATACTCCATGTAAATTAGTAGAGAGTAAATTAAAGAAAAATAAAAAAGGAGAAAAAATATTATTATATAAAAATATTAATGATAATAAAAAGTGTAATTTTTTACATCAAGGTGAAAGCATTTTAAATTATATTGCTAGAACTTTAAAAACAAAATAGATATGAGGATTACAGAGTGATTTAAAAAAAATCTTTACATTTATAAAATGTATAATAGTAGAATGTTTTTATATTATGAAAAACATGAACAATATAGAATAACTTTTAATATTAATTCAGATTTAGAACATAGAGCAATAAATGATAGACATATTAAAGTATTCGCACAAGAAGATTTTACAGTAAAATCAAATTCATATAATAACATTTCTTTAATGTGTGGTGTTGAAATAGATAAAGGACATATAGTGATTTCAATTGCAGAAAATTATAAACCAGAACTAAATTTACTAAATTCTATTGTAACAGAGTCTACTGACGATATTAAAATAACTGTATATAATAACGATAAAAAAGATATAAACATTAAAAAAGGAGATTTGTTATGTTGTATATCAACTTATAATGGTGTTTTAAATGCAAATTATATATCACATAGAGATGCTTTAGAACATGTTAAAGAAGAACAAATTAGACAACAAAATGACTCAGGAACTAAACAGAAAAGTGATAAAGAATCTGTAAAATCTTTATTATCAAGTATAGAAGAAGTAATTAAAGATAAACCTAGTATAGATAAATCTGATGAAGATATATTTAATTTTGGTAAAAAGTGATTTAGCGAAGCATTGATCGCAAAAGTGATTTAAAACAAATTTTTCTTTATAGAAAAAAGAAAATGCTATGTAATAATGGATATAATAATGAATGTAAGCAGCTTTATCCAGATCTTAACCAGTTTTCAGAAAATCCATCTGCACCACCACAATCTATAGATCATAACTTTAGATTACAAAAGATTAGTGAAATTCAAGATAAAATAGAATGTGAAAGGAAAAGAAGAGAGATTTTAAGTAAAAAATATCACAGAGCTGTAAGAATCATTTCAGCAGTTGATAATACATTACTAGCAAGCACTATGACACTTGGAGCTGTTGGTATTGGTTTTTTAACAACAATAGTTGGTACACCAGTAGCTATTGCATGTGAAGGTGCAGCATTAGGTATGGGTGTATTATCATTAATAGGATCACAAGCTATTAAAAAATTAACAATAAAAGCAGAAAAGCATGAAAAGATTAAAGTACTAGCTGATGCAAAACTAAATACAATAAGTAGTCTTATTTCTAAAGCTACATCAGATCAATATATTGATGATGCAGAATTTAATATGATACTTTCAGAACTTGAAAAGTTTCAAGCTATGACTGAACAAATTAGAACAAAATCTAAGAATGATATAGATGAACAGACTAAAGAGTCAATATTTAACAAAGGAATAGAAAAAGGCAAAAGTGATGTCATTGAAGTGTTAAATATGAGATTTAACAAAAATCAGAATATAGGAGTGATGAATAATACTCTTAAGAATTAAAAAAACATATATTATGTATTACTTGAACATATATTATGTATAAAAAACATAATATATGTTGATTTTAATCCCTTTAGGGATCTAGGGATCACATTGTGATTTAAAAAAATTATTACATATATAAAAATGTATGCAAAAGCTACAGATATTGATGCAAGATTAAAAATAGCAAAAGAACTTGCTAGTTTAAAGAAAAGTATATATCAAGATGATGTAAATGAAAAGTTAGGTTATGATGCTTTACAGACTAACTTGGAAAAGTTGTACAAACCAATAATTGATAGTCAATCTGGAATAAAAGAAGGTATATCTAAATTAGAAAATAAAGCTGATCAAATAGCAAATACTTTTTCAAATTATCCTGCTTTACTAGATTCTGAAACTAAAGCAATCATGCCACCTGAAGTTGTAGATAACATGAGATTAGGACCTATCGCAGCAGAATATCTAAAGTTATATACTGCTAAAAATAGTAAAAAAGTATCAGATGATATATTTGGTATACATTACAATGAAAGTGATAAAAAATTTTACATTGGTAAAAAACCAATAACTATTGAAGGTGATGATATAACCATTGAAGGTAAAAAATACATTGGTACACCAGGCCTTTGGGAGATTATAGTAAAATCTCATCCTGTTAGATATACTAACGATGATCGTAATAAGTATAAAGAAATTTTAAATCAAACAGATGCAATTCGCTCTGATTTAAATTTAGCTAAACCAAAATCATCTAGAGGTTATAAGTACACTAATGTAATAAAACCTATTTGGGAAGAGATGATTGGAAAGTATGGAAAAGGAGTTGTTATTCTTCCTAGCGATCCAAATGCACTATTTGATATGCTTAAATTACGCTTAGCTGGTTTACAAGCAGGAAATACTGGAACAAGAAATGAGATTGTTGCTATTTGTGATGAGTTGTTACGACAGGGGCAAATAGATGATGATGAGTATAAAGCATTACAGAAAGCGATTTAAAAAAATTATTTTATATATAAAAAATGACAATATACCATGATACTTTTATTAATCTGTCAGCAAGTCAGAGTGAAAAAATTAAAAACGCAATTGAATCTGGTACTAATGCTAGTATAAAACTATCATATGAAGATTTAAATGGTGAACACAAATTAGCTTTAACAGAGTCACAAATAAACAGAATGAAAGCAGCCTATTTAAAAAATAAGGGTATAACACTTTCACTGAGTAGAGCACAACTTAAACATGATGTTAAAAAAAGTGGTGGATTTTTACCTTTTCTAGCATTAATTGGAGCAACTCTTGCAAGTGCTGCTCCAGTAATTGCAAAGACTGCTGCAACAGCAGCATTAGCAGGAGCAGCAGGAGCAGCTGGAAATGCTATAGTTAATAAAATTGCTGGAAAAGGTATTATTTATGGAAATGGTATTATTTATGGAAAAAAGAATGGTTATGGATTTAAAATTAGAAAAGTAGGAAAAGGAGTATTTTTAAACCCATGGAATGGTAGTGAAAATTATTCGAATGGGTATTATTTAAGAAATGGAAATGATTATTCATCAGTAGGTAGAGGTCTGTTATTATCAGAAAATTCTCCAATTAAGAATAAACAATTATTAAATTCGATTATTTAAGTCTTCATAAAAAAAATATATATTTTTTAAAAAAATATATATTTATCGATTCCACAATGAAGTTGGATAATAAAATAAATCTAATCCACTTCTATATTTTCCATTTAATAAATCAGAAGACAAATCTATAACAACAAATCCATGCTTTTTTGACCAAGCTTCATTACAAAACTTTTTAAATTCATCTAATTTCATATCATTTGAAACATGGTCATTATAAATATGATTTACATTTTTAGAATCTTGTTTAAACAAGCAAATAAAATTTGCATTTTCTCTTATCGTTCTCCTAGGCAACTCAAAATAATTTTGTGCCAAGTAGAAACAATCTACATTGCTATGTCTTCCTCTTATATAGTACTTTTCACACTTGTTTTGTTTTGTTAATTGTAAATCATCAAATATCATTAAATTATTTTTAATACAGTTGAGATTTTCAGGTTCTGGTACATCATCTGCTGTTTCAAAAAATTTACACTCTATATCTGTTTTATCTTTTAAATTTCTTGAAATGTCTTTAATAACAAACTCTGGATTTACATTGTTTTTATTTATTTGATCTTGCAACTCAAATAGTTTAAGAATAACTTCTTTTGGTAATTTATTTTCAAAAGAATTTTTTAATATTTTGTATTCAGGTTGAAAAAGAGATTTTCCAAAAACTTGTAAATTATTATAGTCTAACCAACCAGGCCTTAATAGCAAGTTTAATAATAATGTTGTTTTTCCACAACCTGATTTTCCAACAATAATCCCTCTTATACTTTTAGGCAATAACTCATTATTTTGACGTTTACTTTTATTTACATTCCATGATAAATCTATAATTTCCATTTTTTATTTACGAAAAGTATTTTTTAAATTAAATAAATTAAAATACATATATAAAAAATGTATTGCGTTAAATGTAAAAACAAAACAGATACACTCAACTTACAACATGCTGTGAGTAAAAACAAAAGAAATATGCAATGTGGAAATTGTGCAATCTGCGGAACAAGAAAATGTCAATTTACAAAAGGAGCTCAAAAAGGAGGTGATTTGGTAGAATCTATTAATAAATTTACAAGTAATAGAAAATTACCTTTGCAAAAGTTTCCAGGTGAAATGCATATACCAGGTATGAACTTTGCAGGACCTGGTACTAATTTAGATGAAAGATTAACTTCTACTGAGATGCCTAAAGAATGGAGTATGCCTGTAGATAGAGTTGATAAAACAGCTTATATTCATGATCTTGCTTATAAACATTTTACAGATAAAGAGAATAGAAATTTAGCTGATAAAATAATGCTTGAACAAATGGATGCTATACCTAATCCTACGCCTCGTGAAAAATTAGAAAGAAAGATTATAAAACCTATCATATCTGCTAAAGTAAGGTTTGGTATGGGAAATAAAGAACCAATAAGTATTAAAGAATTATGTCAAAAAAACTGCAAGCGCAGAGGAAAAAAAGCAAAAACCTGAAATGGACTGATGAACTTGCAAATGAACTTCATAAACCTGTTAT